AATGTGTTTATTTTATGGAGAAACTCAAACCTGCTTGTATCTCTTGATTGTGTCGTTCATGCAATGCTGATTTTTTGTTGCATTATTATCATTATTGTTTTATTTTACATGCATTGTTATTGTTTAGCATGAAATGATTGGCAGTCATCTAGTTAGAGCTGCTGTAGAGATGCATGACTTTCTAAGAACCTGTATCTTATTAAAAACCCCATGCGCTCCAGACGTGCTCAGATCGCCCTCTGCTGGTAAGAACGGGATGCTGCTGCAGTCATCCAGTGTGTCTCTGTCACCTCAGGGCCCTCTTGGCCAAAGATTTGTCGTCCTCCATTTAAAACCTCTGTTCATCAATAGTTGCTGGGTTACACGTCAAAATGAAGATGTTTCTGTCTTTCCCTGAATTTAAGACCCTGGCCTTCTTCCTTTCTGTGTTTTCCCAGCCTGCGTTACCTCACTGCCTGTAAATCTGTCTCTTCCTAAAGGTTTAGAGGCCTTTTCCTCCCCCTCTCTCTCTCTCTCATTGCTCAACATGCTTTGACTGGAAGCGATCGTTTGCATGTGTGGGACTGGAGTCTGGTCTCAGTTCATGACTGTTTGAGTAACTGAGATGATCCAATTTTATAGCTGAGCATCTCTCTTCTTATATGTGACCACTGTGATTCAGTTTATCCTCACAAGCTCCAGAAATTATATTACACTTATTTTGACAAGTATTTGCATCCATATCAAACCGCAACATGATATATATTTAACAGAAGCATAATAATAGACTAAAAGAACAAAGCATTGGAAAAGAACTAGCAAGCGATGCCTGTTGTGATTTCCAGCAAAACACAAGCAACAGAGACCACTGGCAAAGTGACGGAGTTGAGCAGACCTAATGTATATTTCATACACATGAATATAAAATATAATTAAATTAAAATGAAATCAATATAAAATTAATTAAAAGCAACATATAATATTATTGTAGTAATACTGTTTAGTTTACCTGTAAAATATGAATTTTTATTCATTTTTTAAAAATATAATCCTTAAAGGAAAAGATATATTTGCTAAAATATATTTTTATTACAAACTTAATATCAACTTTTTAGTTAAGTTTATATTTCTCATTGCAATAAAATAGAAACTAAAAAAATTACTTTCTATTACCACACTGAAAAAATTGTGTAGAGAAAATTGTTTTTACTCTGTAATTGCTCGTAAATTTTTACAATAAATTACAAAAAATAGCAAATAACACATTGAATTAAATTTAAAATTTTTGATGTAGAAAGACCGAAAATTCTATTTTCATTCTCAATAATCAAAGATTTTTACAGTATAATAATAACATGTCTTTATTTATTCATTTACTTATTATACATGTTATGTATTTTCTTTTTTTAAATTTTGCATATACCATTGTTTAATGCAGTCTGCTTAATCCTTGAGCTTTTATTTTGTCTGATTTTTTTTTATTCAACACCTCCGTAGCACAAGGTCATATCAGTGTATTGATTATAAATTCGATTAGTTGTGCAGCTTTCACAAACCCTGAAACACTACATCTTCTTTTTTGTCTTTTAAACAGCTGCCTTTTTGTCTGCCTGTGTCTCTTAAGTTTTCAGTTTTTGTAGTGTTTCTTACCTCTTAAAGTAACATGTGACCTTCACTCCACAGGAAGTATAGTCAGCGTGGGCGACCCGAAGAAGAAGTACACGCGATTTGAGAAGATTGGCCAGGGGTGAGATTAATGATGGACGTCTTGTTATTAATGCCAAATCCCAAAAAATCTTTAAACAATCCTCATCTTCATTTTCTTCCCTCATCAGGGCGTCTGGAACAGTCTACACAGCCATAGACATCGCCACAGGACAAGAGGTGAGACTCTGGTGCCAGCCGGGAAGGTTTCTCAGTGTTTCTCACACGTACGTCACCTAGATGAGCGTTTTCTTCAGGAAGAGTGTGCACTATGACACTATAACATTTCTTCATGGATGTTAAAGCAACATTCAGCACCTGCATGACATAATGCATGTTAAATCATGTGTGTGCAACAAATATAATGCTTGAAATGAATACTTACCAAGCACCACTAATAAGGCAACCATCACTATTATTATTATTGACCAGTGGGCTAATGATTTCAACAATTTATTGTGTAAAATAATAAGAGATTATATTTAGAGAATAGTTTTTTAATTAAGTTGACTTCAAGTTTAGTTCCAAATGCAATAAAATACTAGAAGTAATCATTTTATATATATTTAAATAAAATAAAATAGAAAATAAAACATCAAATATATGTGTTTGATTTTATATACTTTCTATGTAAAATAATAAGACAATAGAGAATATGTTTTGAATTAAGTTTACTTCAAGTTGATTTCCAACTGCAATAAAATAAAATACAGCATAAATTATTATTTTGTTTACTAATACTACTATATATATATATATATATATATATATATGTATGTATGTATGTATGTATGTATATGTATATATGTGTGTTTATATATATATATATATTAGTATTAGTGTATATATATATATATATATTATGTTACACTTTATATAATTTTCCAAACTTGCATGCACCATTGTAAGGCAGTCTAGTTAACCCTTTATCCAGTTAGACACCACCTAGCAACTGTTTTGGACACCCTAGCAACCTTGTAGCAATGTCCTTTTATCACCCAAACACCCTCTTTATTAACTTTAGCGATTATATTTTGCACATTTTCTGAAACATGCATGGCAAATATGCCAGCATTTTGTGTCCATTTGGAGAACTGGAGATATCGACGGTCTTTTCAGCATCCTCTCGTCATCATTAACGTGCCTCCGACGGAGACTTCGACATTCTCCTGATCGATGGCAGTGAATCAGGGGATGCAGGAGGGAACCGGCATGTGATATTGATCTGATGACATTCCTCAGAGCTGAACCTGCGCGCCCACACACACACACACACATACATACATACACACACACACACACACAGAGCTAATCTCAAAGCCAATCCTCACTCATGTTAATGGATCCAGAAACTCTCTGATTCATCGTCAAGTGTGTCTGAAAGCTTTTATCCTGATGGTTGGTCTCTCAGGTGGCCATCAAACAGATGAACCTACAGCAGCAGCCCAAGAAAGAGCTGATCATCAACGAGATCTTAGTCATGAGGGAAAACAAGAACCCCAACATCGTCAATTACCTGGACAGGTCAGTTCATTAGATTAAGCTTTTTCCTAATCAGTATTTATTTTGTCTTATTTTCCTGTAAAAATATTTCATTTTAATTATTTTTGTATGTATAAAAACATTTAATTTTTAAAATAAAAAGAGATATGTATTTTTTTCTTCTCTGAACTGAATTCTTTGAATTCGCTTTATTTTTCTTTTATTTTTTTAATCTTTTTTTCAAAGCTATATTTTCTTATTATTAAATTATATATATATATATATTTCCATTTAGTATTTTATGTATTTTTTGTTGTTCTCTTTTATTTTTATTTTCATTTCTTGTCACATTTTCTTTTTTCTTTTACATATATTTTATTTTAAACTAATATTTTATTTTCTTCTATTTTCCAAAATCTGCTCGACTGTTTCGCAAGTCAAGAAAAGGAATACATTTAAAATAAAAAATGTAAATATTTTAAATATATAATTTAAATATATATTTTATTTGAAAACAAGTGATCTTATTTCTAAAGATAACGAAAATCAGACGAATATGAATCTGTAATAAAAAAAAAAGTCACAAAAAATTAGGTGATGAGATGATCGTTCCACCAAGTGCTGTTGTGGTGACATCATCTCAGAGGTTTTCCTGTTCCGCTTTGATGCGTTTCTGTGTCCATGGGGAATTTCTCCACGTCTGCACTAATAGAAGCAGGAGCGTCCAGTGATTCTGTTGTCACGGCGATGCTGCTGCATCACTCAGCGATGTGGCGAGTGTTGACGATGCTCTCTTGTTGCCGTAGTTACCTGGTGGGGGACGAGCTGTGGGTGGTGATGGAGTATCTGGCTGGAGGCTCTCTGACAGACGTGGTGACGGAGACGTGTATGGATGAAGCGCAGATCGCCGCCGTCTGTCGGGAAGTGAGTGTGCAACTCTTCCAAACCTACTGAGCCGCCGTGCTGTCTAGCTGTCTCCTAAGTGAAACAGAACCTCACAAGTGAATGATGTGGAACGCTTTGCATAGGCAACTCGCCAAAAGCATTCCTTAATTAAAAAAAAAAGACTCAGTTAATTCCAATAGAGTTTGATGTCATTAAACCGAGCTACAAAATGCTTTAATATAAAAAGGCAAGGTTTTTTTTTTTTTTTGTCTACAAAGTGTGCCAACAACAGCAAATTTGGGGTTATTTATATTAGATATTTATATTGGGTTAAATAATTTGATTAGACATTCTAATTCTAAGAAATGTGGATATTTTGCACAAGTTGTTAGCACTTTTATAAGGTCTTATATAAGGCAGCGTAGCGGGCGGGAAAACACAGAGCGTATTATTATTATTACATTATTACATATTATACCCAAAGAGGGGCAGTGGCTCTAGTCCCTGTGCATGGCCCTGCTGAAACATGCATGCTTTAATTAGCTTTATTAACACTGCTGTTCTTCTCCATGCAGTGTCTCCAAGCGCTGGAGTTTCTGCACTCGAATCAGGTCATTCACAGAGACATCAAGAGCGACAACATTCTGCTGGGGATGGATGGCTCCGTCAAACTCAGTGAGTTTGTCTTCTCATTTTTGTTTCAGGCTGCAAAACATTTAGGGCTGTTCTGGGTTTTAAATTGTATGTAAATCTTGGCCTCAACTGCTGTTTGAATTATTGCATTTCTTAGACAATGATTTTAAGTAAGCATGACTATGTTTTCATTTGTGCAAAGGCTTCTCAGTGGTTTTATGTTTTTCATCAGTAGAGGGAGTGAGAGTCCAGATTATGCATCTGCCGCTATGCTTTCAGTTTATTTAACAGCAGCCGGTCTAAACATGTCTCTGTCTGTCTGTCAGCTGATTTCGGCTTCTGCGCTCAGATCACTCCTGAACAGAGCAAGCGGAGCACCATGGTTGGGACGCCATACTGGATGGCCCCGGAGGTGGTGACCCGCAAGGCCTACGGGCCCAAAGTGGACATCTGGTCCCTGGGCATCATGGCTATCGAGATGATCGAGGGCGAGCCGCCGTACCTCAACGAAAACCCTCTGAGGGTGAGAATAAAGACATCTAAGCCACACTCAGTTCCTATTTCTTGGTAATATCATGGTACTTGATCATTATATATATACATATATATATATATATATATATATATATGTATAAACCATGGTATTATTTGCAGTACTATGGGTTTTTACAACTATGGTATTACCATGGTACCATGTATAAAAATAAAACATGGTGATACAACAGTATTTTGCAGTAATTGCACATGAAAAACACGAAATCAAATTTCATTTAAGGTGTTAAGACAATACAGGTTTTAAAACAATAATATGAAACAAAAATGTTTTTAATAAACATATGCAATTTAGAAACCCCTTCAGTACAAGACTAATAAATAAAGAGTTGCAAAATCTAGAAAAATCATCTCAAAATCTGTCAATGCTGAAATATACTTATTTTATTTATACTTTTTTTTTTGTATTTTCTTTTGTGCATTTTAAAGAGTGGAACAAAACAATATAAATGTTTATAATATTTCAATAACATATCTGTTCCTGATTTTAATGGATTGTTTAATAAAAGTTAGCTTTTTACATACAAAATGATTTATTAAAAAATAAAAAAATAAATAGTCTCATTTTAACAGTGGAATAAAACAATCTAAATGTATGTAATATTAAAATAATGTATCTGTTCCTGATCTGAATTAATTGCTTAATAATATTACATACAAAATTATATATAAAAAATAATATAATATAAATGTCTAATGCTGAGTAGAAACAATCAATAGGTAAAAAACAGGTAGATAAAGGGATGTCACAAGTTTGCTTATAATTATTGGACTTTTGAGGCTGTTGCATAAGACCAGGTTCACATACACCTGTGATCTCAAGATTATGATGATGAGATCCATCCTTGGTTTCAGGCCTCATGTGCTCAGAGTGACTTCAGATGCTCTCTTCATGTCAATAGATGAGAACGTTTGCATTGATTTCATCGATTGATACTTTGTGGGAGGACTGAATACAACATTTATTTCGACTTACATCAGCTCTAAAGGCTTTTATCTTAATACGTTTGCTAAAACTATTGACATGAGGTTCATTTGTGGCAAACAAAACTGAAGCAGTAGTTGGATATAGTGGCAACAATGGGCAGTTTGCCTGTTCATATATTTTCAGAAACCTCTGGATGATTTTATTTAGATTTACATTTGAACATTTGAAACAGTATTTTTGCAATGAAAGGAACTGATGCTGTAGTTAATGTTGATGATTTCTATGTGACGTTTAACCCCTGCTGTTGTCCAGGCTTTGTATCTCATCGCCACCAATGGAACGCCGGAGGTGCAGAACCCAGAGAAACTCTCGTCCGTGTTTCGGGATTTCTTAAACTGCTGTCTGGAGATGGACGTGGAGAAGAGAGGCTCTGCCAAGGAGCTCTTACAGGTGTGTGTGTATGTGTTTTCCTCCTAGACGTAAAGAAATTAGCTTCCAGTAGTACTTAGTTTAAACTAAATTCAAATGAAAAATGTTGCCTTGGGAACCAGTTTGTTTCAAGTAACATTTTTTGTTTATGGTTCTAATATTAGTTACCAATGATAAACCTGGAATAGATCAATATATATATCAGTAAAAAGTGACTTAGAACATTTTAGAGACTTTGAGTGATGCATGAAAAGTAAACAATTTATCAGTTCATTCAAAAATAAAAATGAAAACATATAAACCACTTTTCATACTAACAAATTAATAGTGACAAATGGATTAGGAAATGCAATTGATTTTGCAGGAAAAGATTTAAAAGTGCATTTCAAATAACTTATTATTTGAATGTTAAGTTATTACAATAAAAATAATATTTTTTTATTATTATTTACTTTATTAAATACTAGGCCTATTTATTATTTAGGAAGGTTAGATCAAAAACATATATTTTAACATTAGCTGTTAAATTGACAGTTGTTTTACATAGAATTGTTCTATAGTCTATACAGTATTTAATGCAATTACATCAGAAGTAACTGGAATGGAATTATAGAAAAATTAAGAGCAATCCTTACTTTGCTTTTTACAGGAAAACATAATTAAATTACAGTAATTAAGCGCTTACTAATGCATTACATTAAAACAGGTTTATCAAAAAGAACTAAAGAAATGAACAGTAAGGATGCATTAAATTGATACAAAAGATTTCTGTTTGAAATAAAAATAAATGTTGTTCTTTTTAACTTTCTAATTATCAAAGAATCCTTAAAAATGTATAATTTTTTCCACAAAAATATAAAGCTGTTTTCAGCGTTGATGATAATCATAAATGTTTCTTGAGCAGCAAATCAGCATATTAGAATGATTTCTGAAGATCATGTGACACTGAAGACTGGAGTAATGATGCTGAAAATACAGTTTTGCATCACAGGAATAAATTACGTTACAATATATTCAAGTAAAAAACTTCACATTTTAATAATGTTACAATATTTCTTATTTCATAATTTTTTCTGATTTTACTGTATTTTTGATGCAATAAATGCAGCTTCGGTGAGCAGAAGTGACGTCTCTCTCTTTCTCCCTGCAGCATCAGTTCCTAAAAGTGGCCAAGCCTCTGTCCAGCCTCACGCCGCTGATCATCGCAGCTAAAGAGGCGGCCAAAAACAACCGCTAGCCGCTCCAGGACAACGGGACGACCCCCCGGCCCCACCTGTCCTCCACCCCGACCCCCAGAGGCCTCTCGCTCTCTCTCTCTCTCTCTCTCTCTCTCTCTCTCTCTCTCGTGCCGCCCCTCGCCCTCTAGTGCTGCTGTTTCAGGGTCTGAGCACTCACGCTGTGGCCCCTGAAAAGGCTCTGATGAATGACTACATCACTGGAAACAAATGGCCACGGCGCGTCAGGCCCAAAGCATTATGGGGGATTTCCCCCTGGCTGACTCTCTCTGGGTCTCACTGTCAGTTTTTCTGTTGCTTTTTTTGTCGTTTGCTTTTGTGTTGGAATCATGGGAGCATGATTGATGTTTTCATGTTTGTATTTGTTGGGGTTTTTGTTCATTTTACAACGTTTTTTTTTAAGTTTTTGTGTGTGAGATAGTGTGTATGTGTTCGTGTGTGTTCGCCGGGTCATAGGTTAGCTGAGATTGTGACATGATGACACGTTTGTACTGCGATCGACAGAAAGATCTCGTTTTTTTGATATTGAAACATGATTTGCAACAGACTATTGATTAAGGTACTATGAAGGATGCCTGTGCATGAAGAGACTGCATTTCAGATGAAGAAACGACCACCTGAGGTCCGTTCTGTCCCATAATCACTCCACACGGCGGAAACCCAACGTAACATCAATGCGCTACGATCTTTTGTGTTGCCACAAACATTAATGGAATTGAAATTTTCGGATATTACGTTCACGTACCCTTTGGCCTTAAACTGTGACGTGAATAGTAGGACGTAACGAAGACGACACAACACACCAAGATGCGATCTGACGCCATTCTGATTCTTTCAGTGGACTGATGGGATTTGTTTAGAAGAGAATCTTTCCTGTAAGCAATCAGTGCGTTTCTGCGAGCCATAAACTCTTTATAAGGCCTTTTGATGAACTGAAATTCTTAATTGAAATGGGACGAATAAACTTCAGAAGTAATTAGTGTCCAGGTGATCTTTTGTAACTGCCGTGTTGTTGACCTTTGTGTTTAATAACTTTATTACCACCTTTTCATCTCTTGTATAACATATTATTTTATTGAATTACAAGAGTTAAAACGTTTTTTTTTTTTTTTTTTTTACTATTTCTGGATGGTAATCTGTAAGTATTGATTTTTTTTTTTTTTTATTAGGTATCCATATTTATTTTTGAGATAATAATAGAACTACTCTGGACCTTATTTATAGATTTATTTATTTTTTACTTTATAGGTAGTAGGTTACAGGTATAGGTATAAGTTAAGATATAAATATTTGATATAATTTAATTTAATATAATTTTAATACAAATATTCTATAGTACTGTACTCTGGACATGAGGAAATTTGACCTTGCCAAATATAATCACACAGTAGTTTCAAATACAAAAGTACTGTGATGAAAATATTCTTGGACTCTAACTTTAATTTGATGCATATTAAATAAAAATAAAAATGGAAAAGATGCAATATGAATTTAATATGAATATAAAATAAGATTTTTTAAAGGTTAAAAAATAAATGTAAATAAAAAACAAATTTAAAATGATAAAGAGTTGATTATTTGTGTATATATATATATGTACATTTTTGCTTTCACTATCTAGTCCTGCACTCTGTTTAATGAATTTATACAAGTATAAATATATACCATGTATTACCTTATAAGGTATAATAATAAGTTAAATGTTGTATAATGTAATAACATTTTTAAAGAGAAAAAATAATTACAAAAAAATAAACTGTAAATAGTGAATAAGCCTGCAGCATGTGTGACAGTCAGTCACTAGGACTTTTAAACATGGTCTTTGTATTATATATATATATAAATAAAGTATTAGACGTCAATGGAAATCCCCACCACAGAAAAACAAGTGTGTGTATCATTATTAGCGCTGTCAGGTGTGTTTGGAGTAAAATGATCAATGATGTCGCTGATCTAAGAAGAATTAAAAAAAATAAACTAAATAGTGAATAAGCCTGCAGCATGTAGCAGTTAGTCACTAGGTGGCGCTGTGACCCCACTATAAAATCAAACATTTAAAAATATTCTAAGGATATATAATATAATATATTATTAAATTCAAGTTTATTTGTATAGCGCTTTTCACGATACAAATCGGTGCAAAGCAGCTTTACAGAAAATTAAGTTTCTAAAATATATTTAGTGGTAGCTTATCACTGGTGAGTGACTATGTCAAGTTAATGTACATATGGCAGAAATGTACCGTAAAAATCAATTAAATACGTAATCAAACAGACGATGAACACTTAGCAGCAATGATTATAATATAATATAATATATGGAAATAGAAACGTATAAGTAAATGACAGAAGAACAAGTGTGTGTGTGATTGCTAACGCTGTCAGGTGTGTTTGGGGTGATGATGTCGCTCATCTGAGGATGCTGGGATGCTGTGTGCCGTCGCCATGACGACAAGGTACCAGCTGGACAATCTGCATGCAAATGGCAGCGTGCGGCCTAATCTCGCGCTGGTACGGCAGGCCCTGGTAGCCATGGCAACGCGGAAACGCACCTTTCCCGGGTTATTGTAAAATATTTTTATTTAATATTTTTTTATTTAAAGAGAGAGTTGTTAGATGTAAACCGAAAGTACTCCAAGATACTCCAACCAAACCTGATATTACTGTCACAGCAGTGTCTAAACACCTTGGTATTTACCATGGTAAGCTACTTAGTAAGTACCGAAGTAAGCTACTTTTTGCAAGCAGTAACTGAAACTACGACAGTATAACTGTGGTAAAGTGGTATTAATGTGTCAGCTGTCAACAAAAAGGAAAGTGAGAGGTCAGGAAAACTGTGAAAGACACCATTTGAATTCATCTGTATTGACTTGATATTGACAGACACTGTGACCTGAATCAAACAGAGGATGAGAAACACACTTTCTTCTGGTCTGTCCCAAGCACACCACTACAAGGCAATCTGAAGCATTGAATTGTTCATTCGTAACGCTAAATGACTCAGAGAAACTACACTATATGCTAGGAGAGAATGACATGGGCAGCCAAACTAGCTGCAAAATATGTATACACGATACATTGTATTCATTTTGCTTTTTTTGACATTCTTCTTTGTATATAATTGTAATTATTATAATTAATATTAGAGATACTGACTGCTGTTATATTTATTTTATTGTATTTATTTATTTTCTCTCATTTATTACATTTATTGTCTCCTTTTATTATTTTATGTTGTAATTATATTCTATATTTTACACATACTTAAAATGTTTTGTCAATACTATAAGACAAATGTCATGCCAATCAAGCAACTTGAACTTGAGAGAGAGAGAACACATTAGCAGCACACTGACAATCACTCAGAATACCACAGACCAGTGACATACATCCTTTCTCACTTTTCACTTCCTGTCAGCTCTGATCGGTCCTATCAAAATAAAGGCAAAAATGGCAAAAATAAAATAAAATCTTTAAAAAATGAATACCACAGCAACCACATAACTCTACAGCAACCACTTAGAACACTCAAGCACATCAAAATATGTAAATATTTGAACACACACACACACACACACACACACACACACACACACACAGAGTTTTAAGCGGTGAAGACGTATAAGATATTTGGCATATTTCTGTTATATTTACATTCCTGATGTCAGTAATGACATGAATTCTCCTGTGTTAGCAGTGCTCTCATTAAGAAGCTGTGTGTGTGTGTGTGTGTGTGTGTGTGTGTGTGTGTGTGTGTGTACAGTCAGGAGGTGAGACACTATTTTCTAGCGGCTCTGAATTTCACACGACACCTTCACCAGAGGCTCAAGGTCGCTGTGACGACAGGTTTGACAGTGAAGCGGAGTGTGTGTGTGTGTGTGTGTGTGTGTGTAATAAATGTGGGACAGAGTGAAACTGGGTTGCGCAACACAATATTTTCCTGATATGTGGATGATGTACTTTCAGAAGGAGATGCGTTATTATATTCCTGAAAAATATACCAACAGAAGAGGAGAGATAGAGTTTATCTATCTGTCTATATTGCTATCTGTCTGTCATTCTGAATATCTATCATTTTGAAAATCTAGAATGTCATTCTATCTATCTATCTATCTATCTATCTATCTATCTATCTATCTATCTATCTATCTATCATTCTTGCTATCTATCTATCTATCTATCTATCTATCTATCTATCTATCTATCTATCTATCTATCTATCTATCATTCTTGATGATTTCAGTCAATTCTGGTGAATATGGGAAAACAATGGTAAGCTGTACACAGAGGCAAAAAGTGGACGCTGACAAAATCATGAAACAAATTTCATTTGTTTGAAAAATGCATACAGCAGATGCTCTTAACCAAAACGATTTACATATGCATCCAAAGTATACATTTGATCACTTTCATGGGAATCGAACCCTTAACAGTGATGATATTAGATTATTAGTGCCATGCTCTCCAGTCTCCAGTTTAGGAATGCTTGTGAATTTATTTCTAGGACATCTGGTTTAAAAAATAAAGCTAGAACTCTGAACTCTGACGGTGGATTAACAAATCAAACATGGCTCTCAGTGTGTTTGTGAGCTCATGACATTCACGCAGATAAGCATTGTGGGGAAACACTTTATTTTAAGGTGTCCTTGTTACACATATTACATGTACTTACTATTATAACAACAATTAATTATGCATAATTACATGCAAGTAACCCTAAGCCAAACCCTAACCATAAGCACATGTAGTTAATTAATATTACTCAGTACTTATATGAATAATTACACTGTAACAAGGACACCTTAAAATAAAGCGTAACCCATTGTGGACGTGTGTGTATTGGGATTGCTGCAATTTTTCGCCTTCCCATAAATGAGGATGATGATTATTCAGGTGAGGTATGAAAATGACCTTCCGTCTAAACGAGAGCAGAATGGAAATGGAGGCCGTTTCAGAACTGATGAGTCATTTATGACCTCTTGGAAAGAAGAAGTGCTGAGAGCGTTTGTTGAGCTTTTACTGCGTGTGGACATGAACAAATATATGAAGAAACCAGTCGTCAGTCTGTATAAGTCCCTTAACACGAATAGGGTGCAAAATGGTGCTCGGAAATGATTTCACTTGAGTATTTTAGACAAATGACCGGAAAATCATTGTTTGTCCTTAATACAGGTCAACTGAAATATTATTTACATTATATTTCATACTATACATTTATGTTAAATACATTTTTAATGTCATTATATTTTACAATATTTTTTATTTCATTTAATATGAATTTATTTTGTATAATATTTATATTATTTTTATGAAACAAATCATTTCATTTGATTTAATTTAATGTGTATGTATAAAGAGCCAAAATTATCCGTAGTATAATTTCATACATTTTATTTTATTTTAAAGAGTTTAATGGAAGATTTATGGTAGTGATATTCAATTAAATATTCAAGAATCATCTTAATGAACAAAATTTGCTGGTCGCACAGCGTATTTTCTGCAATACTCCAAAAGCCAATGGAGTGACTTACAAAAATACAATCACTGCAGCGCTCTATTGGTTTAAAAACAGTAATAAAAAACGAAATTGTGACCTATGAAGCGGAGTGTGTGTGTGTGTGTGTGTGTGTGTGTGTGTAATAAATGTGGGACAGAGTGAAACTGGGTTGCGCAACACAATATTTTCCTGATATGTGGATGATGTACTTTCAGAAGGAGATGCGTTATTATATTCCTGAAAAATATACCAACAGAAGAGGAGAGATAGAGTTTATCTATCTGTCTATATTGCTATCTGTCTGTCATTCTGAATATCTATCATTTTGAAAATCTAGAATGTCATTCTATCTATCTATCTATCTATCTATCTATCTATCTATCTATCTATCTATCTATCTATCATTCTTGATGATTTCAGTCAATTCTGGTGAATATGGGAAAACAATGGTAAGCTGTACACAGAGGCAAAAAGTGGACGCTGACAAAATCATGAAACAAATTTCATTTGTTTGAAAAATGCATACAGCAGATGCTCTTAACC